GAGAAGACAGCAGTGCTTCTACTAAATACCCTAAAATACACTGAACAGTGCACCTAACAATTACAAAATTCAGTACAAAATATCAAACAGTAAGTAAGTTAAAACCCTGCTCTAAAGCAATGGTTCTCAAATGCTGTCTTGTGTTGTTACTAACTACACATTGCCTGGGAGTATGTCAGAAACGCAAATCTCGGATCCTGTCCCAGACTTAGAAACTCTAGCCCCAGGGCCTAGTAAACTGGCTTGATAAAGGTTCCAGGCAATGTTGATCAGCGAGTATGTATGAGAACCACTGCTGAAGCCAGCAACCACCATGCTACTCAAGACTTTTCCCAAGCGCTTCAAACCTTTGTACTTCAGAAATTTCTTTATTCTCCCATAGAGGTTCAAATCTGTTGGCAGGATGGAGTTAAGCAAAGGAGGGAAGACGGAGTGGGACTAGTTGCATTCCACAGGCTCCCACGTAAGTAATATGAAAATAAGGACACCTAAGACTGCTGTGTTCCATAGAAGTGAGCCACAACTACGATTCTTTTCCCACTAGTTTTATGTCATCTGATAGCATTCTAGAGTCTTTTAAAATGTTTTAAAATTAACACACATATGTTTAAAACTATATGTGTATGATTGTTTTGTCTACATGTATATGCACCACATGCATGCCTGGTGCCCATGGAGGTTAGAGAGGGTACTGGATCATCTAGAACTGGGGCTGTAGATGGTTTTGAGCCACTGTGTAGGTTCTAGGAACTAAATACATCAAGATCCTCTGCAAGGGCAACAAATCCTAACTGTGGAGCCATCTCTCCAGCTCCTCTAGATTCTTTCTCCTGTTCCAGTTTCTTGGGTAACTGGTTGGAATTATATAGGTCAGTTGTACAGTTAAAGCACAACACCCCAGGTTTAATCCTCAGCACTGTTAAAACAAACACATTAATTACTAAGACCTGGGAGAATGCAATCATTTTATTATGATTCCCACAGAGTTCAAGAAACTGGGCTTGAGCAGTACTGGATTGGGTTACCCATCTTTGAGCTACTAGTTATGGGGGGGATACCATGGGCCCATAAAACAATACAGACTATTGTCACTGGAATTAAGACCCTATTGCTAAAGACATCATATTCTTAAGCTGTGTAAGACATAGGTATTGACCTGAAGTTTTATCCCCACTGGCTAGTTTTCATAGTGCTTGATAGTGCTATGTAGGCTGCTGGGAGAGAAAATGAACAGTCTTACCTAGCTGTGAACCCTACGAGCTACAGCGACAAATGGACTGGCAGATATGGCCCCTGGTGTAACAGTGTCATCAGTGTTTTGGGAATATGCAATTGTTTTCTGATTGGATCTAAAGTCCACCCTACAAGACAGAATTCATGTTTTGTGTTATTAACTGGGCCAAGAAGACATGCTGGGTAGGTCATAGACCCTAGGAGAGAACCTATTTCTTTGCTAAATGTACATATTATCAAACCGCCTTCTAAATACTTACCTTTATACCCACTGAATAGCATGGCTCTCAACCCTCCCAATAAGCAGAGAAGCCTATTTCTGTAGTAGAGGGCAATAAATATGGAGACTCACAACTGGTCAGTACAGAGAATAAGAAACTGTGGGGTGTGTTCAATGCTAATGGCACATCTATATCCCAGCCCTTTTTTCTAAGACTCAAGAGATGACTGCAGAAGAGGGGACAGAAAGACTCTAAGAACCAGAAGTTGTAGAGTGCTACAAAAAGTGTTTCCTGGATATGACAGGGTTGGTGTACATAAGAACTTACAGTGGCTATGCTGAGGCTGTATGCCCAAGATCTGCACAAGATCAAGTTAGCCAAAATTCTAGAATGAATGGAGAAGAGGTCATTTTGCTGAGAAGCTACTGGTGGCTGGAGGAGTCAGTATAAAATAAATACTGGCAACACTAAATGGATTCAATAGGTTAAAAAGAAAAAGAGAGTGTATGAACTTGGGAGGGACAAGTGGTGGCACAATACAGGAAGAGTTGGAAGGAAGGAGTAAATTTGACCAACACACACACACACACACACACACACACACACACAGAGGCACATATGCAATTCTCAAATAAAAAAGGAACCCAAATAGAGAGAATTGACTCCCCTAAGTTATTCAATGCCCTCCACAAAAGGGCTGTGATACATTTATGTGTGCACACATCCCCACACAAATAAACATTAAATTATTTAAAAATAAAATGATCATCATTAAAAACAAACAGGCTGTTGGGATGGCTCAGAGGGTGAGGGTGCTTACACACCAATCTGGTGATGTGTGACCTGAGTTTGTTGCGTGGAAAACATGGAAAGGCAGCAACTCCAAAAAGCTGACTGCTGACCTCCATCTGCATGTGGTGCCAAGTGTGCCCATGGGCACACATCACAGTTCCACACAGGGTGATTTTTAAAAAGGGGACTGACAGATGTAATAGCATAGGTCTTTGTGTTTTGTTTTGTTTACCCTATTAGGTGGGAATACATTTTGCTTCAGGGGGGTAGAAGAAGAGATAAGGTTTAATTTTTAAGAACATTCTGTTGGGCTTGTTTGTTATATACTGCCAGGGCATGAAACATTTTCCATCTTTTCAAAAGTCTTCCTGGTTTAAATAATAATTTGAAACTTGGCTGAGGTGTAGCTCCACTGTGTAACCTATCACCATTCTCTATTTGAAGCACAGCAGTGAAGCCTACCTTCAGGCTTGAAGCTAGAATTTACAGAGTATGGGAACTATGCATTATTTCCAGTGATCTGAAATTACAAGAACAATCTAATACAAAACCATAAAGGTCTACATTGTATAAAGGTTGCTTCAAAGGACACAATCAGATTCATGACATACCCAGTTTATAAAAAAACCTCAAGCTGGGTATAGTGATGCAGGCAGCTTGCTACAAATTCAAGATCATAGTTTGAGGTCAAAATGGACCACATAGCAAGATCCTATCTCAAATGGACACGTCTGTAGATTCTACTTTTCTTAAATTTATTACAACCAACCTAAGTTAACAGTTCTCAAACTTCTCGGCAGTGTTCCTGCACAAAACAGTGATGGCTAGCTTCCAGAGATCTGAACCTCTTAACCTAAGACACCGTTCAATAGAATTTTTTGCTATTTGCATTTTACCTTCAAAATGACGAAGATGGGGAGATGAATAGCTTAGTGGAGAGCCTTCCCTTACAATGCAGGAGGCTCGATTACCACCATCTCCCTCAAAATGCAAACAAAATTAACATGGGTCATAGTAGTCACTGTAAATGTATCCCTGTTCTTCTAAAAAGAACAGTTAACATTTTTAGCAATAAGTAAAATGAGTGTTCCTGATGAGATTCTTGGTTTATCCCATGGCTCTGCATATATGCCTATACCCACCTCCACCCAGCATTTGAAAACCAGAAACAAACACAGTTAACCGTCCAGCTATTGAAAAGGGCTGTTCAAGCCATGACTATTGACATTAAAATCCTGCATATTTACTTTAAAATTCGATAACCTTAACCCTCATCATTTCCAAATTAGAATCTCATGGTGCTTTAAAAATGTGTTTCAGTTCCATTACTAAATCCCTAAATCTTTCCAGTTCAAATCTTTTATCCTTGATTCCTTTTATAGATACCATCACATCGTTTATAACAGACAAAATGCATCTCGCGTTTTAAATGTTTTGCCTCTTGAGAGATTCTTCATGTTTTGTCTATCCACCCTGCCAATGCACTATCTTCCAATGGGCAGAGCTTCATCCATCCCTCAAGGGGCTACACTCCATCCTGGCTGAATGCTACAACAAAGGCGAGCAGCATCATAACTAAGGGTCCCGAGTGCCTCTACCGGGCGCCCAGGCAGAACCGACGCTTTGGATCACTGGGAGCTTGGGAGCGAAACGCCAGCGCCTCATCAAGGCAAACAGTCCTAATTACAGTGTCGCCTGCACCCCATCATTAGCCCCCACCGGGCAGGTTTCCTCTCGGACAGCAGCCAACATCTCAGGCCGGACAAGTTCCTCCTGGACCCTGGGCCCAGCCTGCCTGAGCCCGGCCGCTCCCTGCTGACCCTGACCCGGCCGCGGGTGTAGACGCGGCCGCACCGGCTCCTCAGCTCCGCCCGTCCCAAGCCCCGGATGTGACGGCAGGTCGCCCCTGGCGCTCGCCCCTCGGGACGAGCACCGGTGTCCGCGAAAGGTTGCGGAGTTTTCCCACCGGCCTGCTGCCCACCACGTACCCAAGTGAGCAGGCTCTCGCACAGCTCCACCCGCTCCACAGACTCCACGTTAAACATCTTCCTGAGGGGGCCGCAGCGTCTCCTCAACCAACCAGAAGCCGCGGCCGCTCGGCTCGGGGTTGAGTCCGAAGGGTCAGGCTGCCGACCGGCGTCTGGAGAACCTTCTCTTCCGTCCGGCCGCTCCCGGGGCGCGGACGCTGGCAATCGCTCCGCACTGTCACCAGCCCCTCCTTCCCTTGCTCGGGGCCGCGCGCTCCCTGCGCGCACCCGGCGCCGCCAGCCCACGCCCTCTTGCGCGGGCGCAGCGTAGCGCGAGCCCAGGCCCGAGTGCCACTGCGCACGCTCGCGTTCGCTCAGCCCCGCCCCTAAAGGCGCGCTCCCGGCGCCAGGCCACTACCCGTGGGCGCGCGCCCTAGCCGGGCCCTGCGGCGGTGGCCGGTGTGTGTCTCTGAGGCTCCGCACTGCGCGTGCGCCGACGCCGGCGCTCTCGCTTAAGAAGCCGCCTGTAGTTGCACGGGAAGAGTAGCTAGGTAGTCCCCGGAAATGAACTCTATTCTGTCAGACGGACCCGCACGGTAGTTCCTCTGCCGCGACGAGGTACGCGCCCCCCTCTCCGGTCGCCGGCGTGTGCCAGGCCACGCCCCCGCACGGCCCCGCTGAGGGCCGGGACGGCGGGACTCGGCGCGGTGGGGGGCTGCGGGACCGCGCGAGGGTGGGATCCGCGCGCCGCTCTCCTCCGGAAGCCTGGGCTCAGCTCTGAATCGCCGGAGCCGGCCCGGAGTCTCAGGCAGAAGGTGGAACGGCTGACGTGGGCGCGTCTCGGTGGCTGTGGACCGGTTTGGCCCGTCTGTGGAGAGCCCGGCGTTCCTCCTTGGAGCCCCCTTCTCCCAGAAAACTTTACCCGAAGTGAGAGAGGGTGGACGCCAGTTCACCAGTGCGTAAGGACCCCTACTGTTCTAAGGCCTGTTTCTTGTGTTACGAGTTGGCTCCCTTGAGGTGCATCGTTGTCCGACTTTGGATTTTTTTTTTTATACAGGCATTGTAGGGTTTCATAGACGTTTTTAAGTTGCGTGCAGAACAATGCGTTAGGAGTATGTTTGGGGAATATTAATAAAATGAATTGCCACATTCCCAAGAGTTCTTCCATCCATACCATTTCTAGCCTGATTTTTGTGACAGGCACTTTTATTTGCTTTCCCTTTTAGCTTTTTACCCGATGAGTATGCATGTAGTATAATTTCCTTTGCTTGATTTTTGAACTCTTATGAATGGATATGTATTGTGGTTTTGGCTTTTAAATAATATTAAATTATCTGTAAAATCCCATGATTGTCTAATATCCCATTGTGTGAATACATACTTGTACCCATTCTACTATTGATGTACACTTTGTTCCAGTTTAGGGCATCTAAGAATAATGCTATAATAAACATTCTTCTACCTGGACCTTAATGCAAAGATACTGACGTTTCCAAGACACCAAGATACAAGATATATACACATACATATATGCTTTGGAGTCCTAGGAGAATTGTGGATTCAAAGGTATGCATAACTACCAGATCGTGCAAATTTTCATTAGCAGTTCTTGGGAAGTTAACTTCCCAGGATAGACCTTCACTTTTTTTGCAGTTCCTGGAGACTTCTTTTCCATTAGAAGTTGGTTTTCTCGGTGACATTTTAGAACTTCCAAAAAACATTGCATTTTTGTTCTGTTTTGCTTTCTTGTTTTTGTTTTTTTTTTGTGTGTGTGTGTCTAGGCCTGGCTATTCTGGAATTTGCTCTGCAGACCAGGCTGGCCACAAACTCAGAGATCTGCCTGCCTCTGTCTACTGAGTGCTGGGATCAAAGGCTTACCGCCGCTGGCAGCATTGGATTTTTAAATTCTTTTATTGACTACTGCTTGATCACATGTAATCGATTGTTTTATAGATTTGAAAAGTCTTGGGCTGAGGATGTAGTGCTAGATTCACTACCCTAGCAAACATCAGGACCTGAGTTCAATCTTTGGTACCAAAACTAAATAAAGATAAATAAATCTTATCTGAAGCCTTCTCAAAGGTTTTTCTTGCAAACATTCTTAACAGGAGCAGAAACACCTGTAGAAATCCTGACTTTGAATCTCTTGTATTTATGGCATCTCTGTGGGTGCCTCTGGATCTTTGTCAGACTAGAGGTCCAGCATTCCATGCTAAAATGTTTCTGTGGAACAGGTGTCTCCTTTCAGTGACTAAATCTTATTAGGCAAGCAGATAGTAAGTATATGTTACATTGACTTTGGCCATGTCTTTAGCTTCAAGACCACAGGTTTTAGCCTTATTGGAGGAACTGTGGTATCTGTCCAGTAGCCACTTTTACTCTAGCTCCTCAGGACTTCAAATCTGTGGTAGAGTTGATTTAAAGTATGTCATTTCAAATCTGTGAGTCCACAGTGCTTTTATACCCCATGTAGCATTGCTGGTTTATTTTGTGCTTCTAATTACTTTTGGGGGCAGAAATGATATTAAGAACTCCTTGAACGTGATTACAGAAGCCATCTGACTATCAAGATGCTACATGAATCTGGTGTGGGGGGGGCAGTAGGGGGAAGACCATTTTTCCTTTGTTGTGGGAAATCCTAGCATTTCTACTAGGAAAGGGTAGTCCTTTCCATGACATTGTTAGAAACAGACCCAAGAGAGGTGAGCTGGGACTTTTCTGAGCTGTCTTTGTAGGCCTTACGCAACCCAAGTAGAAGTTAGTTCTCAGCTACAGCAGTCTATGAGTTCAGGAGAAGGTGATGCTATTACATATGACAAATTTTGGATTTGGTTGTGAGCACACATGTCAGAACAGATGAGCATGTTTGTGTCACTCTAAAATTAGGCTTTATTGAATGACAGTAAATACACAAGGTTCAGTGACATTTGTTATATAATCCTACCTACTTTGAGGCAAAAGTAAGTTCTTTTATTCCAGTCTTAATTAGTAACATTAACTCTCCTATGATACATCACAAGGCACAGGTAACTCTGTGTGTGTGTTACAGTTAAAGAGGCTGCATCTGAGTTCAAAAGATTTCAGAAAAGGTCTGAGAAACTGTACTGATAGGTAACTAGCCAGACCAGTGCAAGGAAGGAGCTGCTGGAGTCAGGGTTTAGGAGTGAAGCTATCGTCCATTTGCAAGGTAAAAGTCAAACTGAATGCTCAGGAAATGGTGGGCTCCTGCATAGGTTCTGGTGGGTGAATAGGCTATGTTGATAATGGGGTCCAAGCCAAGCTGAAACTCCAGAGACGATTAAGGAGTCCTTCCTTTGCTTGTTGACCCTTGATTCCAGCACCAGGACTATGGCATCCCTGTGTTAGGTGTTTATTTATTGGCTCCAGGGAAGAGAGAGTTACACTTTCTTTGCTCTGGCGTGTCGGATAAGTTCTTGTTCCTGGTTTCCCTGATAGGACTTTAATATGCCCTTGTGCCCTTACAAATTAAATTTAGTCCAAAAAACTAGTAAGATGGCTCCCTACCTGCTTTCAGGAATAAGTCATATATTTATCTGTGCTGGGTGGGTGGTACCTGACACATGGTGTTGTTTGCAGATCTGTCCCATGGCTTCAGTTACTGTGTAAGGTATAGCATAGGAGAAATAAGTAATGGTACTAACTGTAATGTCTCAGCCGATGCCCTTGGCTTGCAAAGCACTGCTTTCTATGTTTTTCTTTTTTTCTTTTCTTTTCTTTTTTCTTTTCTTTTTTTTTTTTTTTTGAGACAGGGTTTCTGTACATAACCGTGGCTGTCTTAGAACTCACTATTTAGACCCAGCTCTCCCCAAATCATAGATATCTGCCTGCCTCATTACCACCTGACTGCTGGGATCAAAGGCACGCACCACCACACCCTGCCTACAAATCCATGTATTATTTTGAGACAGGTCTTATGTAGCCCAGGGTGACCTCCAACATCTTATGTAGCCAAGGATAGCCTTGAACTTCTAAACTTCCTATCTCTATCTTCCAAGTGTGTCTATGTGGTGCTAGGAATGGAACCCAGAGCTTTATGCATGCTAAGCAAGCACTCTGTCAGCTAAGCTACATTCCCGGCCCTGTCTTTCAGACTTTGATCACAGCCATAGCATTTCTAATTTAAAAAGAGAATACCTAATAAAGCAAAAGTCTTATACTGACTGTCTGGCCTATCCTTAGATCAAATGCTCTCCTCCCTCAGCTTCAGCTGGCAGTTCATTCGGCTGTTTTTTAAATGAAAGTACAAGTAGAGTGCATGCTCTCTGTCTGTCTGTCTGTCTGTCTTCTCTCTCTCTCTCTCACTCTCTCGCTCTCACTCTCGCTCTACTTGTATGTAGTTTCATAGTGGGCATTTTACAATGGGAATTTGAAACCTGTCCTTAAGAGTTCCTTGTATATCATCAGGCTGGAGCTCTCTATAAAGTCGATGACCCCTACCCCTGATACATTTCTTTGCTTAGGTTTCTTACACCAGAGATAATTACTAGCAGCTAATTCAGATCCACTTCAAGAGTATTGGTTTTTCACACTCAGTATTTTCTTCTCAAGAGAGATCAAATGCATGATTTTGGATAGAACTTTTTGAGATGGGCACACGCCTGCCTCCTAAGCTACTCTCAGTTGTGTCTTGTTGTGTTACCAAGTATGACCTTGAACTATTTGATCCTCCCATCTCTTCCTCAAGTGCTGGGATTCCAGGTGTGGGCTAGTGGTAAGGATTGAAATTAAATGCTGGGAAAGCACTCTGTCATCTGCAGTAGATCCTCAGCCCTGGATAAAACCTTTCAGTCCAATAGTGTACATAAATTCAGAATTTTATTTAGACTATTATATACTTAATTGAATATTCCTATCATTTCCCTTTAGTTATCATATAAGGCTTTGAGCTTTGTTCACTGAGGGTCGGGGGAGTTACCTGTGATTAACCTACAGTGTGGTTGGGTTGTCTCCTCTCATTCTTGCAGTATTGGGTACTGTCATTTTTCTTTAGAATTTAGGAAGGAGCATTCCTTCTTTACGACATATACATACTCTCAAAGTGATTCCTTTATGCCACGTAGTTCAAGGAAATTTGAACCATAAGCTGACCTTCATTCTGGTTACACTAATAGTTTTCAAACTCCAGACTTGCATTAATTCAAATGGTCTTACTAGAAAGATAAATGTCTTGCTGCCTAAGTGAATTCTGCTTTTCAAATTACTCGTATTCTAAGCTTGTTGAGTCACTAAGTTCTGTATGCAGAGCATGTGGTGGGTAACTCTTTACACGCTAAGACAGAGGGATGAGATCTATTTGGGTTCTTTATTTGATATGGGGTTAGAAAAGAGCAACCGGGGTAGAGGAATATCCTTTTCCTTAAAAGAACTAACCCTAAACAGAATAAAGGTTTTATTTTGGTAATACTGCCCCCTACCCAGTAATCTAACCTGGCTTTGAACCTGCAGTGATCTTCCTGTCTTGGCTTCCATATATAATACACGATTACACTCAGTTGTATAAAATTCTGGAGAGAAGCCGGGAGGTGGTGGCACACGCCTTTAATCCCAGCACTTGGGAGGCAGAGGCAGGCAGATTTCTGAGTTCGAGGCCAGCCTGGTGTACAGAGTGAGTTCCAAGACAGCCAGGGCTACACAGAGAAACCCTGTCTTAAAAAAACAAACAAACAAAAAAATTCTGGAGAGCAGCCCCAGAACTTTGTATATAGTAGGCAACCATTTTACCAACTGAACTACTTCTCCAGCTATCCAGAAAAGATATTTTTTAAAAATTTACTTTAAAAATTTGTATATGAGTGTTAAAGTAGTTGTTTTCCTTAATGAAAATCGTATTTTGTCTCCCCCAAATAAAGATTGTGACAAATTAAAAAGCAAAACAAAACTCATCGGTAGGGGACCCATAACTGGAGCCGTCCTTAATGGTGCGTGCCTTATGGAGCATGCTGTAGTGTTATGTATGTTAGACATAAGCCAGCCTTACATTGCTTTTATCGATATATTTCATTTTCACTTCTTCATATTTTAGACCTGTAATGGCCAAATACTACAGTGAAGTTCAAAGTTTGCAGCAGGATGACTCAGTTATAGAAGGAGTAAGTGACCAAGTACTTGTGGCAGTGGTGGTCAGCTTTGCTTTGATCGCTACTCTCCTGTATGCACTTCTCAGGTGAGACTAAAGAGTAAATGATTTCAAGTACTGAGTATTTCTAAAGGTCGATGACTAATTCTTTCTAGTAATAGTTGGTCTTAGTGACTAAAATATTTTACTTTCCATTGAGCTTTGAATGTTACCATATATTTTTTTGACTTACCTGAGAATATTTAAATTCATAGTTTCCATTTCTACTAAAATAGTACTATTTCCTATGAGGGTATCCTAGTTTAATTTTTTTATAATTGAATCTACCAGCTAGCGGGTGGTATGGATAACATATGCAAAATAATTAAATGGGAAAAGTGACAGAAAAAAGACAAACACAAACAAGCAAAAGAACAAAAACCCCACCTCATTACTGATACCAGTGCTCTCCTGGCCTAATCTCGTTTTTTAATAACTTCTTGCTTCTGATTTCCCGTTGTACTTTTTAGGTGGTATGTTCACGTCTTAGATTGCTTTCCATTACTGAGATAAACACCATGACCAAAAGCAACTTGTGAAGTAAGAGTCGCTCCTTTTTCAGCTCTCAGTTTATACTCCATTACTGAGAGAAACTGAGAAAGGAACTCAGGGCAGGAACTGAAGCAGAGGCCATGGGGGACACTGCCTACTGGCTTGCTCCTCATGGCTTGTTTAGCTGGTTTTCTTATACAATCCAGGACCAGGGTCGCACCACCCACAGTGAGTTGGACATCAATTACCAGTTAAGAACATGCCCTATCGTCTTTCCTACTAGCCGATCATATGGAAGCATTTTCTCAGTTAAGATTCTCTCTTCCCAGATATATCAAGGTTTGTGTCGAGTTGACCAAAACCAGTCAGCACAGTTAGTTTTGGCAGTTTTGCATTATATGTATAATTATATGTATAATTTTAACTTCTGCATGTATTCCTTAAACATGAAAAATTAGGAGAAAGACCCAAATAGATGTGGAAAAGTGGTCAGATGTATAATATGTAGAACTTTCTAATTGCTTATTTTAAAGAAACTTCACAAAAGAAATGTGTTAATTGTTCTATATATTACTTACTAGCTTGCAATAAATTCCTAAGATACTGGGCATCTGGATTTTATCATTTACCATTGAAACCTGAAATCAGCTGATGATCACAGATTTGGGAGAAAGATGTCACAGAGTAGCCTAGAGTGCACAGTCGTGGATTGGAGTGCAGGTGTATATCGTGTTACACTTAAGTTACGTTCAGTCACCAGGAGTTCTTTTTCTTTCTTGTTTTTTAAAGTTTTTAAAAAATGATTTATGTATTTTTTATATATGAGTGCTTTATGTGCATGTATGCCTGCATGCCAGAAGAGGGCGTCACCTCTCATTACAAATGGTTGTGAGCCACCATGTGGTTGCTGGGAACTGAACTCAGAGAACAGCCAGTGCTTTTAACCACTGAACCATCTTTCCAGACCCCATGTAGTTCTTTTTCTAAAATAAGCAATTATTTATTGGCTCAGGATGATGAGTCAATGGGTAAATATTTTTTTTTGCCATAGCTGATACCTTGAGTTCAGTCCCAGAACCCACATGGTAGGAGAGTCACAACTCCTGTAAATTATACTCTGGTCTCCACACACGTGTCATAGCACACACAGCCATTCCCATATACATGAATGTACACCACACAGGAAATAAATGAGTTTTACTTTTTTTAAATGATTATTAATGGTGTTGGGGGATGCCTGCCATGATATTCATGTCGAAGTCAGGACAGTAGTGTCAGTCTCTGCTTTCATCTTGGCACGAGTTCTGAGGAATCTGACTCAGGTCATTAGGCTTGCACCGCAAGTGCCTGTATCCACAGAGCCATCTCATCAACCTGTGCTTGTCAGTAGTTCAGGGTCAAAAATTAGACTAACAAAGCAGATGGGTTAATCTAACTTTATAAGTTCTCTCCAACAGAAATGTACAGCAGAACATTCATCCGGAAAACCAAGAGCTAGTCCGCGTGCTTCGAGAACAACTGCAAACAGAGCAGGTATGGTTATGTAGCATATACATTTATATAAGGGAATGTTGTAGTTTCCTATTACACACGATGGTGATAAGACATTAGAAAGTAACTTTAAGAATCATCAGCTACTTACTCCTTACATTATATTGTTCTTCAGATTATTTATTTTTAGATTAAACACATTTTTTTTCTTTTGAGGGGGTTGGACGGACATTAAGACAATCTCATATATTCCTGTCTGGCCTGGAACTTGTTGGGTAGCTGAGAATGGTCGTGAACTCCTGATCTTCCTGACTCTACCTCTGTCGTAGTTACTTTTCTATTGCTGTAACTACAAGTCCAGTTACAGGCAACTCATAAATTAAAGCACTTAACAGAGGGCTTGCTTACTGATTCAGAGAGTTAGTTCATGGTCATCGTGGTGGGGAGTGTGGCAGCAGATAGGCAGGCCTGGCTCTGGAGCAGTAGCTGAGAGCTCACATCTTATCAACAAATTGAAGGCAGAGAGAGAGACTGGGCCTCAGGTGGGCTTTTGAAACCTCAAAGCCCACCCTGAGTGACAACAACTAATCTTAATCATACAGATACATGCAGCGAGAATTTTGGTTTCTTTGAAAAACTCAAAAATATTATGGAAATTCAAAATAACATATGCATTTTAATAAAATGCAAAAGCTGACTTTGACTTAATCTACAATTTGTTTTCAAGTTGTGTATAGGGAGGAAGGTGAAGGCTACTTAGTTCAAATAAAATAATATAACTTTGCAAGCTTCTTGGACTTACAAGATCTTAAACTGTTGTGTATGTGTAATTTCTGTTTTGAGAGATGTCTGTGTCCTCTCACCAGGATGTCCCTGCTCCTGCTCGGCAGCAGTTCTACACGGAAATGTACTGTCCAATCTGCTTACATCAAGCCTCCTTTCCCGTTGAAACAAACTGTGGACATCTCTTTTGTGGTGAGCAAGTATCACTGGACTTGGTTAAAGTAACTAGCTCAAGACCTATATGAATTGGTAGTAGGCTAGATTGCTTATTTTCTTTTTAATCACATTTATTTTCTGAGAAAAGTAGATTGCTTCAGAAGTCCTGTTTTAGTTGCCACCCAAATGATAGTATATTATTTAGTATATTATAAACTAAGGTCTGAGGATGTTGCTCAGTTGATAGAGTGCCTGCCTATCATGCAAGAGCCTTGGGCTTGATCCCCAGGATTATATAAACCAGGTATGGTGGCATATGCCTGAATCCTAGTGCTCAGTGGAAGAAGGAAGGTCAGAAATTCAAAGTCACCCTCAGTTAGAAAGCAATTTCAAGACCAGCTTGGGTTACATAAGACCCAGTCTCCAAAAATGAAAGTATATTCTCATGCATGTGGCTGTATACACACAGAGAGACAGGTATTAAATCATAATTTATTTTCTGTTTAGTGTGTTAGCATTTGTGGGGTCCAAGCTTTAGAAAAAAATAAAAATAAACTTCTAGATCATTATTAGCAATGTGTTTCTTGGAAGAATAGTTCAAATTTTCAAATAACATTATGTGTTCACTGTGTCCTTCTCAACTTCTGTCAGTTTTACATGTTATTCAGACTCCTATGGCAAGATTACTGTCTCAAGAACTAAGCCACAAACCTCTACTAACTGTCTTTACTCTTTCTGTGTGACCTTCAGGAGCTGGAAAAAATGTGAAACCTAGAACACAAACCAGCTGACAGAGGGAATATATTCACATTTAGTGTCAACAAGAGGTACCTTCTACTCCTCGTTGACTTTCCTGATTCCCAGAAAGATTTCATAGAGAGTAATATTGTTTCTTATGACCTTGTAAGATTGGGATGTGCCCACTGTACAGGAAGGTTAATAATCTTATCCAACCCCACAAATCAGAAACTAAGGCTCAGAGAAGGCAAGACGTTTTGTAATGGGTTACCCAGCTGTTAAGCAACCTAGAGTTGTCTTTAAGCTTTGTGCTTAATTCTGCTGTGATTGGCGACTTACAGGAAGATGAACACTCTAAGAACTCCTCTAACTTAGATGTGGCTAGTCATTGGGCCTACTTCTCAGTAATAGTGCTTTCTGTTAGTTGCAAGTTGAATAACAAAGTGTTTTTCTTTGTATGTTTTATTCTTTGAACCTACAGATACTAAATAAAAATGGCTAACAGAGGATATTAGAAGCATTGTATCCATTAGTATATACAATTATGATTGGTCTTAATTATTCCCATATGTCCTGAACTTTACTTAAAGACTAATTTAAAATGTAGCATATGATGATCCTTTATTAGTGCCCTCCCTTTTGTTTGACTTCAGCATAGAATGCTTACAGTTTTATTAATGATATTGCTGGGGTTGAAACATTTGAAATCTCTACCTTGCAATGCTGAGTTTTCCATACATTGTGATTATTAGAATCTAGTTTTGTGTTCCTTCCACCATTAATTTTAAACTCCCTGAGGTTTTGTCCTTAAAGACTGGGTTTCACCTTGTAGCCCTGGCTGTCCTAGAATTTGCTATGTGACCAGGCTTGCATCATATCCAGAGAGTCACCTCCTTTGCTGTCCAAATGCCAAGACTAAAGGCATTCGCCATCAGACCCAGCTATTCTGTTTTGATTTTTTTAGACAATATATTGCTATGTATGTCCGCCAGACGCTGAACTGGCAATCCTCCTACATGAACCTCCAAAATGTTGAGATTACAGGTGTGCACCACCATGCTCAACTTCACTAAGGTTTTTTTCCCCACATACCTAACATACAATGCAACACTTTTGAGTTATCTGTTGAAATGTATTACTCACTGTTGAGAAGGGAGGACAGTTCTTCTCTCAGGAACTTTGCCCAGTCTTCTCTAAGCTCTGATGATCTTTCAGCTTTTCTTTCATTTTTACTTATTTATGTTTTTGTTTTGGTTTAAACCTTCTTTGGCCAGATGTCTTAGTATGTGTATAGGTTGACAAATCTGGGCATGAGTCCTTGCTTTCTTCCTTAAGAAAGGATTTCTTGTTCACTTCTGCATATGCCAAGCCTATAGGTTTCTTCTGTGTCTGCATCCAGTCTTAAGAGCACTGGGGTTACAGATAAGTGCCACTGCATCCTGCCTTCTGTGAATTCTAGAGCTCTGAGCTCAGGTCCACAGATTGTGTGGCAAACACTTGGTTCACTGAGGCCACTGCCCAGCCCAGTGTCAGTCTGTTAATTATCATTTGGATTGCTGAAAAACAGCAAATAAAAGATCAGATGGGGGAAGGAAGTTAATACCCATCAGGAAAGACAGAAATCTTCCTGCTCTCAAACCTGTAGTAGGCATTCCTAAGACGTTTGACCCTCCTTTTTCCTGAATCTAAACATGGCCTTAATCATCCTCTGAGCAGGTGTTGGCACTTTGTGAGGCTTGGCAGGCAAGATGAACTTCTTTGCCAACTCGGGCTTAGCTAATTCACTGGGTGGAGAATCCTGTCAATTGAAAGGTGGTTGTATTGTGTTCTTGCTTTTACCTCTGAGTCTGAGGTAATAGGGTAGATTGCTTCTGATATCCCGCTCTACTTGTTAGGTACGTTCTTCTTTTGAGATGGGACTCAGGTATCCTAGATTGGCCTCAAATGCGCTGTGTAGCCCAGGATGACCTTGAACTTCTGATCCATGTTACCTCCCAGGCGCTGAGATTTCAGGCAGGCACTACCATGCCTAGCTTATATGCTGAGGAGTATTGATAACCCAAGACCCTGTGTGTGCTAAGCTACCCCCTACCAACTAAGCCATGTTACATTTATTTATTTATTTATTTATTTATTTATTTATTAAATCTAAAGGTAGAAAACTTCTTATGTAATTTCTCAAAACATTTCTCTGGACTGTAGATCAGGTATATTAGCACTACATGTGTCAAGAGCTCTTACCTCAGTAACTCTTTATGTAGCATAATGCCTCTGCTCCATTACAGCAAATTAGAATAAGCAGCGATAGAATCATCTTATTTGCATCTATAATCTACATTATTTAACTCTTTCTCAAGCCTGTGAGATTTTGTTCTCATTTTGCAGCTAAACAGATTGAGAGAAATTTGTGACCCAGAAGAAAGTTCAGTCATCTCTCATACCACTTTTCTCATACTTTCTCTGTGGAGGGAGAAAATTGAATATGATAGTATCAAGCATCAAACAGCAGATGAATTGAAGCATTTAATCTGCTGAGTCATAGTTTTTCAGTGAAGACAAATGGTGTTACATAATTACATAAAATAAGGTGTTACATAAAATAAGGACACCCACACTCTAGTTAGAGGAAAAGATATTTGAGATTAAATGAGTGTAGCGTTTGTCAAAGTAGGCTGAACTTTTGGGTAAAAAGGTCATAGATACAGCTAATACATGGTATCAATGAAAATAATAGCACTAATAAATTTTTCTCTTTGTATATATATACATGTGTATGTATGCACATGTCCATATTTGTATGTGTACAGGCAAGTTCATATATTTGTGTGGGCACACATACCTGTGAGCATGTGTGAGCATGCACATACCATGTGTACACACATGCATATTGAGGTCAGAGGTTGGAGTTATTGTTCATCTTAGTTTTTTGTAGTTGTTGGTGTTTTTTTGGGGGGGACAGGGTCTCTCTATTAATGTAGCTCTGGCTCTCCTGGAACTCACTGTGTAGACCAGGATGGCCTTAAACTCAGATGTCCACCTAATGCTGAGATTAAAGGTGTGTGCCATCACACCTGGCTCACCTTAGTCTCTCAGTCTGTCCTGCCCCCAGCACTCTCAGCTCCCCAACCCCTCACCCTATACCACCAACCTGGAACTCAGTGGTTAGGTTAGACTAGCTGGCCAACAAGCCTTGGCGACCTACTCCTCATGCTGGGTTACAGACTAGTGCCACTGTAGTTGGCCTTTACAACTGATGCTGCAGATCCCGCTCCCTAACCTCCTGCACTGTCTCTACAGCCCCAGCTTTTGCTTTCATACAGGTTTCATGTGAAAGCAGAATGCCCAAAGTACTTAGACTGTGATTAACACAGAGCTCCACGAAGGTATAGCATGAGGTAATTGTTTAGCTTTTAGACTCATCATGAAGTTGGTGAGTTGTTTGTAATTTGGCCAGTTTCTGCTAATCCAAGTGGTTGTTCACCATTGTTCTCACAAACCATTCTTTCTGCTTCAACTCTTCGTTCTAAAGAACAAAAGTGTCTAAACAAAAGTGTCTTGTGTTCTGTTTTCTACCTATCCTACAAAGTTCAGTTCAAGTGCTGTATTCAGGTCGCCATCTCTGTCCCTCCGTCTACTCCTTCTCATTCATTGTCACACAATTTAAGATTTAGCTATCTTCTAACTGATTGGAGGATGTCCCTTTGGTTTCCACCATTGGATTGCTACTGCTTCTTCTAAATTCTGTCCTGGAGAGGTCAGAGTAAGGAACAGGGGCTGGGAATGTAGCTCACTTATTAGAGTACTTGCCTAGAATGCATGAAGCCCTTTGCCCTTTAAAAGCATTAGACAGTAAAAATGTTCCTTCATGTTTCTTCAGGCAGGGCTGCCATCTTTGGTTGTTTTGTTCATGAATGTGTGTGTGTATGTGTGTGTGTATTTATGTGGGTATATATGTGTATGTGAGTGTGGGTACTTATGGAGTTCCGTGTCAACCTCAGGTGTTGGTCCTCAGGATAGTGTCTACTTTTCTTTTTTTTCTTTTTCTTTTGAGTATGTGGGGTGGTGGGATGGGTGTGCAGGCATGTGCTGATGTCTTCCTCAATCACTCTCTACCTTATTTTTGAGAAGAGACTCTCTCAACCTAGAGCTTGCTCATCTGGCTAGACTGGCTGGTCATTACTGTCCAGGAATCTTCATATTGCCACCTTTTCTGCTTTGGAATCATAGGCACAAACTGGAAAGCCTGGATTTAAACAGCAGCAATAACAAAATGAGCATGGGATCAAGTCCTCACACTTGCTCTGACTTTATGTACTCAGCAACTCCCCAGTCCCAGCCTTTTCTCCATTTTGAGGGGGGAGGGTAAGGTAAGTAAGTAAGGTCCTCTTACTTACTGTTAGAGAAGTTTTCAGGTAGGCTAGCCTGATTGGCCAGTGAGTCCCCAGGACCCTTCTTCTTTTTGCCTCCCCAGTACTGGGATCACATGTGTGTGCCTCCATGTCCAACTATGTTACATTGGTTCGTGGGAGCTGAGGTAGGTCCTCATGTTTCTACAGTACAGACTTACTGACTGAGCTATCTCCACCATCCTCATGACCATCACCTAGTACAATAAGTACTTCGGACATTAAGCTAAGTATTTTATTAAGGAAACCCACTGCTTGAGTAATTGTTTTTTAGGTTTTGGAGTGGCAGGGAGGAAAGCGCTCATATAGCTGAGACTAGCTTTGAACTTTCTGTGTAGTTGAGGTTTATCTTAAACTCCTGACCTTCTCATCAACCTCCTAAGTAAAGGGATTCTATCCACCACAGCTTATTTAATTTGGCTTTTTAAACCTTGATATTGTTGAGAAAGGGTCTCACTGAATAACCCAAAGAGCCCTCTCACTTGACATCCAGGGGCCTTTGCTTCCCAAGTGCTAGGATTATAGGTATGTGTCACCACACCTTGCTGGGTCAGTGAACTCCTAAAAGAATATTTTTCCAATACATCAAATTTGGAACAAATAGTATCTTACAGTTTGTCATATTTAGTATCATGTTTATTTTATGTAGGGAACTGTTTTCTCTAAGGCCTCAGTAACTGAGGTGATTAATTTACTGGAAGATTTGGTTGGATGAAGTAAATTTTCTCAAGGAATATTTATTTAATAAGCAATGTAGATAAACAATGTAATAAAACAGTGTTTTAAAGAAAGTATCAAATAGTGGAAACTTACCAGCAAATATAAACTTTAAAGCTTCATTATTCATGTTTTCTTATTCCACTAGGTTCCTGCATAATTGCATACTGGCGATACGGGTCCTGGCTTGGTGCAATCAGTTGTCCTATCTGTAGACAAACGGTAGTGTTCTCTAGATATAAAGTATCACTTACGGTATTTCATTTCATAAATATTAGGGCTTCTTTTGGTTTAAAATGTCTTATTTTATGTGTATGTGCCTGAGTGTCATCACATAGCCTGTGTACAAGAGTCCACAGAGGTCACAGAAGGCATTGGGTCCTCTCAAACTGAAGTTTTAAGTAATGATGAGCTGTCCTCTTGCTGCTGTGAACTGAACCTCAGTCCTCTGAGGAGCAGTAAGTTTTCTTAACCACTGAGTCGTCTCTCCTGTCGAGTATTAGCAGTTTTAAATTTAAATTGAGTTACTTTTCCAGCCAAACTGCATTTTTACCTATTGTGTCTGTGACTTCACTAAATTTTTAAAAAAATACATTAAAAAAAAATCACTCATGTATATAAAAAAGCGAATTCAATTTGAAATCCTACAGTTGTAGTGAAAAACAAGAGATAAGTTTTTCCCACATACTGTTCTCTTTTGAGAAAATATCTTCTTCCTTTTAAAAATATTTATGTATTTAACTTGTCCCATTTTTTTTGAACTTTAATAATTAAGCCACATAGTGTGTGTTTTAGCAACATTTCCCCATTACTGTTAGAGCAGGAGAGCCAGACTTTCCTCTTGTTTCCTTTTTATTTCTGTAGTCCCAAACTCTACCTCAGAGCTTTTTACTTTTTCCCACGTGGTTAGAAGGAAAGTTGATTTGTCCCGCTCACATTGTTGCTGTGGCTAATTTGATGTGTGACATGGGTACTTCATTTGCCATAAGCTAATTGACAGTAGTTCTTACCCTTTGCCAGAACCATGGAGGCCAGGTAGTGTATCTTAAACTGAAAACTGAGTGTCGCCATGTGTTAGCCAGTGTTCCGTTGCTGTGAAGAGACACCAGGACCATGGCAACTCTTATAAAGGAAAGCGTTGCATTGGGGCTTGCTTACAGTTTCAGAAGTTTAGGCCATTATCATCATGGTAGGAAGCATGGCAGCAAGCAGGAAGACACGGTGCTGGAGAAGGAGCTGAGAGTTCTACATCCAGATTCACAGGCAGCAGGGAGAGAGACACTGGGCCTGGCTTGAGCATTAGAAACCCCAAAGCCCAACCCCGGTGATGTACTTCTCTAGCAGACCACACCTACTCCAACAAGGCCACACCTTCTCATCCATGTCAAGTAGTACCAGGTTCTAATGACCAAACATTCAAAAATAGGAGCCTATGGGGACCATTCCTATTTAAGTCTCCACACACTTGGCCTACTTTGTGACTTTACCCATGGCTTTCCTAGAGTGTTTGTTGTACTAAACACTGACTAGGGATTAGTAAAGTGATGGAGCTCTCTCAGTCTGATAGCCAGTGCTTCCATAATTATAGTAGCAAGCACTGTCTGACTGGCAAATGGTCATGGAAATAGCAGGCAGGCTGTCACTGCTTGTACATTAGCTGACCAAACACTCCTACCAGTGCCTCAAGACTTTTCCTTATTCTTCAGGTGTACTGGACCTCCCAGGGGGGAGTTCAGTTTTGATACCACCTGCAATGCCATGTAACAGGCTGTGTAACAGGCCAGCCTCCTATCTGTCTTACATATGTTGAAGGCATTCATGATGAGGCTGTGGCATCTTTTTTTCCATGTGTGCACACCACTAAAAGTGCCTAGCTCGTAGTAGATGCTCAACTAGCATGGGAGATGCTCAGTTACATTCGTTCGTTTGTTTTGAGACAGTGTCTCACTATGCAACCCTGGCTGTCCTAGAACTCACTATGTAAACCAGGCTGGCCTTGAACTCAGAGATCTACCTGTCTCTGCTTCCTTAGTTGAGATTAAAAGTGTACACCACCATTCCTGGTAAGACTACATTTAAAAAAAAACAATTTATGCTCTAAAACCTTACATTAGCCTTGAGAAAAGAATAGTTACAAGAAGGAACAGGCATGAAGATTAGATCTCTTAAGATTTGATCTGACTGTCCTGACTTTAAGGGCTAATCTTGTTGGAGACTTTCTTGCCTTATTTTAGAAACTACATTTGTATTAACAAATCTATGAAGGAATGGGTGCCTGTGTCCACTGTCCTTACCACTTAGTCACTCCTTCATTTAACTTTTGAAAATATCTGACTAGGGGTTTTCTTATCCTCAGAAGGATAAAAACATCTAGAATGATCCAAAACTAAACCTGTTCTTTTTCTTCTTTAAGATTTATTTATTTATGGTCCACGTAAATGAGTACTCTGTCTGCAAGCACATCTGTAAGTCCGAAGAGGGGATCGGATCCCATTACAGATGGTTGTGAGCCACCATGTGGTTACTGGGAATTGAACTCAGAACCTCTGGAAGAGCAGTCAGTGCTCTTACCCACTGAGCCATCTCTCTAGTTCACTAACCTGATTTAGTCCCTTCCATTTTATCTCATTGTATTTATCAGATATTATTCTTTATAGGTTGGTACATTCTTAGCTATACATATTTTTCAAGGTCCCTGTATTGTCCTTAGGCAACTGTGAACCATCTTTATCACGGTCATGAAAGTAGCAAGACTAACTTTATTCTGTAACAGTACCAAGACTTACATCTCCTTATTACAAAAGGGACTGGTGTCTCAGAGTTAGGCCATACAACCCTTTAGTTTCTGTAGTGTGACAGACAGCACTCAAAGACATGCCAAACGTGAGTAAAACGTCAGTCAGAAGTGCTTAATTTTTTCTTTGAAAATCATAGCTTTTTATTTTTAATCTCCAAGTGCATGTTTTTCCAGAGATCTGTGGGTTTTAGCACCTGATATGGACAGAAAAATATTAGAGTAAGTGTTTAGATGTGGAACCCATTTTATCTTGGAGGAATTAAAAATTACAGTTTGTATTACATTTTACTGTAAGGCAGTAATTACTTACATGTTCCCCATGTTGCCTTTATCCAAAGAATGAATGAAAGACACAGTCAGAAGCTTTTCTCATTCTCTTGAACAACACAAAGTGAAAAAATGATACTAGTGGTGCAGAAGGTGTAACAGCTTTTTCCTGTACTACACAGGTAACTCTGCTCCTAACAGTGTTTGGTGAAGATGATCAATCTCAGGATGTTGTAAGATTGCGTCAAGATGTTAATGATTATAACCGGAGATTCTCAGGGCAGCCTAGATCTGTAAGTAATGTTACAGCAGGTACAAAGTCAGAGAGAGCCTTTATACTTTGTGTAAAATCAGATTTACCAACCAGCTAGTGGACTATGTAAAGTCTTAGTATGTGTTTGGAACTAATTTTTAACCTTCATCATTGCCAGTAACTAGTTTTCCCAGAGGGCAGAGTTTATTTATTTATTCATATTTTTTTGACTCAGGGTCTCATTATGTGTCCTTGGGTGTCTGGAACTTGATATGTAGACTAGGCTGGTCTTGAAATCTCAGAGCTCTACTTGTCTCTGCTTCCAAGTACTGGGTTTAAAGGCATGTGCCACCATACATAGTAATTTTGTTGTTTTTGACTGAGCATTTAAAAAAATGTTTTTAGTCTGTGTATATATGTGTGCTTGCATGTATGTATGTGCACCACATGCATGTATGTGTCCTTGGAGGCCTGAAGAGGGCATCAGAACCTCTGCAACTGGAGTGGTGATCGTGAGCCACTAAGTGTTGGAAACAACAATAGCAAGTGCACCTTACCTCTCAGCCATCTCTCTAACCCCCAGATATCTATCTGTCTGTCTATCTATCTATCTATCTATCTATCTATCTATCTATCTATCTATCACTATCATCTTTTCTACTCTTGTGTGTGTGTATGCACACACACACACACACACACAAACATATTTCTTTAGTTTGATTTTGGTTTTTCAAGACAGAGTTTCTCTATATAGCCCTGGCTGTCCTGAAATACACTCTGTAGACCGGGCTGGCCTCGAACTCAGAAATCCACCTGCCTCTGCCTCCCAAGTGCTGGGATTAAAGGCGTGCGCCACCACTGCCCGGCACACATACTCTTTAGTTGGTTTTTAGTGTATAATATCCAGGCCTGGTGGAACAGACATAATCCCAGGTATTCAGGAGGCTGGGGCAGGAACAGAACAAATTCAAGGCCAGCATTAATAACTTGATGTGATGCTCTCTGAATAAGGAGTGAAAAGAGAGCTAGGGATATAGCTCAGGCTAGAACACTTGCCTACCAAGGGCCTAGGGTCAATCCCAGTCTATAAAACTTGGACATAGTCCGCTGTTTTTATTCATTCACTCATTTATTTATTTATTATCACATAGGCCTTTTTCAGGTAGTTAACAACTCAGCCTGTTGTTAAATACCTCTAGCTTGTTAGGAAGTGGTGCCCCAAGGTCACTTCATCTAATAATTGATTGGTTTTCAGCCCCATCCAGATATATCTTGATAGTAAAGCTGACACTTGGGAACAAATCTCAGACTATGAGCCTACATAATTTTTTTGAGAGTGGGTCTTATTCTGTAGCCTAGGCTAGCCTTGAGCTATTGCTGACCTCCTGCCTTCAGCTTGGGAATTACAGGTGTGAACCACCATTCCTGGCCTATAGTTTCTTGGCTTTTTATTATTGATCAGTAACTTGAGTTTTGGATGACTTTAGGTTTAGAACCACTTATCTGAAATACTTGAGACCAGAGTTTTCAGATTTCAGAGTATTTGCATGGGTTTTTACAAATAGAGCCTCCTGAATTTGAAAATCATAAGATCACAAATTTAAAATGTTTTAAAATCCAAAACTTTTTGGCTCAACTGCTTTTAGACTTTAGAGCCTTTTATGTTTTACAACAGTTACACATCTGTAGCATTTGAAGTATCAGACTTTCAGATAGGTTCTCAATCTATATCCCACATTTTAAGCATGTTGATACTTTATTGCTTTTCAGTTGTCTATAAGACCTGTTTTACAAAAAATCTAGTAACTAATTTTTAAATGAATTGCACAGTTGGAAAGTCTGGTATTAATTGTGTGAAACACTTTAAATCATCTTAGCTGAACCTGTAAATGAAAATTATCTTACTTTTTAATTTGATATCTTAGATGCTAAATTCTAGTCCTTGTTTTTCCTCCTTCAGATTATGGAAAGAATCATGGATCTCCCCACCTTGCTGAGACATGCATTCAGGGAAGTGTTTTCAGTTGGGGGTCTCTTCTGGATGTTCCGCATTAGGATAATGCTCTGTTTGATGGGAGCTTTTTTCTATCTCATATCACCTCTAGATTTTGTACCTGAAGCCTTGTTTGGCATTCTGGGCTTTCTAGATGACTTCTTTGTTATCTTTTTGTTGCTTATTTACATCTCTATTATGTATCGAGAAGTGATAACCCAAAGACTAACTCGATGAGAAACATTAGTTTACTAGAGTATCTGAGCTTATACATAAAACCAAACAAAAGGATCCATGGCAGTATCAATCACCCAAGTACCATTTTACACACCGAAAATATTTGGTTATCATTTGACAAATGCGTAAGAATATACAACTGGAACATTTACATACTACAGCTTCTGTTGACATCAGATGTATAGTGATCTACAGGTTTATCTCGATTCTGTGTTGTCTGTAAAAAAGTATGAAACCAATTGAAAAGGGATACTTTGTTGTTTTCTTTTCCTGCACATTATTTAGCTTAGATACATAGTTCAGTATTGCTGAATGTAAATTCATCATCCTCCGTGGGTACCCATACAGTAACAGAGAACTTTGAAACTTACCTAAATCTGTTTGTTAAAGTAAAATATTGTATGATGCTTAGGGAAAGGTCAGTGTCTCAGTGTGCTGAGCTCTGGACATGGAGCAGCTCTGCTTTTTCATGTTTGTATAATTCTTAGTGATCAACTGAAAGTGAAACTTGAACTTCCTGATTTGACCTCACTTTCAGTCTCTAAAACACTTTAATCAATAGAAGGATTAACAAAGTGAAAAATACGCATCTCCTGGAGGTACTTTTGATGTTCAGTTATGACATTCTACCAAGAGTCTGGACTTTCTATAGAAACACATACAAAAGTAACTTGTAGCCAGCTGTGGCGGCTTTACACTTGTACTTTCTGCATTCAGGAAGCTGAGGTAGAAGATTGCCACAAGTTCAGGTCTGCCTAGACTACATAGTGAGTTCCCAGAAGATGGAGCTAAAGAGTGAGATCCTACTCAAACCTAAGGCAGGGCCATGGGTAAAGGTGCTTGCCGCCAAGCTGACAACCTGGGTGAACCCTGGGCCTCACATAATGGAAGTAAAGAACAGATTCTGCAAGTGTCCTCTGACCTTCACATGTGCACTGTGGCCCTTGAGTGTATACACACACACACACACACACACACACACACAGAGAGAGAGAGAGAGAGAGAGAGAGAGAGAGAGAGAGAGAGAGAGA